CAGGGGTAAAAACATAGTTTGGAATCCACTCATCCAACTACTGCATGCCTGAGTGTGGGGCTTGCCCTCTGGGCACAAACGTCGGCATCGGGGACAGCCGAGTGCGGGCTGTGCTCTGACCCCATTCCAGGGTTCACAGGGTGGGAAAGGGCTGCCCATCAAGGTGAGAGGGGCTTTCAAGGGCTGGGGGCCCCCAGCGTGGCATTCTGAGATACAGGCTCTAAGCTGACGCTAATTCCTGGGGCCACACACTAGTCAAAGCAGGAATTTGTGGTGGTCAGGTGACAGTCTCAGCCAGCTCACAGGGCTCCGGGGTGTACAGATTCTCCCTGGAGCTGTTTTCTCAGCTCCAGACAAACGTGCCCACTGCTGCACCCCTCACCGTCTCCCTCTGTTTGGGGCGAGGACCATTATGTTAGGGAAAGCTGGTGCCAGTCTCTACAAGACAACTGTGAGCACAGACTTCATTGTGTGCTGATTCCTCTGCAGCCGTGGCGAACCGCGTCAGCAGAAGGGACTGGTTCTGGCTCAGACGGCCTTGGATGAGTCTGGGGCCAATGTTCTTTGCACAATTCCTCTAAAGAAGGCCTGAAGGGTGCCAGTAAAGACGGCTGTAGAAATGTGGTTTTTCTTGGCTGGTTGTGGGGCCTCAGTGAGCCCCCCTCCCACCTGCGCCTCTCGTAAAACAGGGCATTTGGACAGAATGTGACTGGGGCACTGTCCAACCCTGACAGCCTGCCACCAGTCACCCCAGGGGAGCGGGAGGCCTTGGAGTGCGTCTGGCATGTGTCCTCGATCATATTAAACACAGATTTCCCCCCGAAAAGCAATAAGTGTATATTTTGCGCCACATTTCCGTCCCTGCAGACGCTGGGCTCAGTGGCCTAGCTCAGAGTATTGGTGTCCACGGGTGTCCTGCCTGTGGGTGGGACCAGATCAGGGAGAAGCTCAGGGCCTCCCCACAGCGGGCCCTAAATCCCCCGCATTCAGTCTGCTCTCGCTGCACATTTGCTTTGTGGGAATCGATCAATCATTTCTCCCGTCTCCCCACCCCCATCCTCGCCTTTAGAGGAACATCAGTATTCACGTACACACTTAAAAACAGCACAAAAAGCTGACTCCCCGCTTCCTGCCCCACAGGCCTTTTCTTCCTTGGCCCGAGTGCAGGCCTGGCTCCCCGCGAGCCCCCCAGGTGGCGCGGTCGATGCTGCCCAGTGTGCGGCCCCCGCCCCCGGGC